TGGCGGGCCCCCCCCCCCCCCGCGTTCCGGTTGTGCGTGGGCGTGGGGTGGGGATAATCCCGCGTGTCCCCGCCTCGCGCAGCCTCCCGACCCACCCGTGGGCGGGGAAAGGGGGGTTCAAGGGCACCGAGAGCCACCGGTCGAACCCACGGGTGGGTCCCCAAGGTCGAAGCGCGGGTGGGGAAGCAGCACCCGTGGCTGGGGGGGTCCATCCCTTCCTCCCGGCCCCCCCACGAGCGAGAAAATGGGATGAATTCCTCCTCCAGACCCCAATAAATCGCGCTACAGGCAGCGAGGAGAGGCCGGAGCATCCTCGGGATGTCCCCGAGCGTCGCTGCTGCCTCGTCCCCACCCTTCAAAAAACCCGTTTCTCCCTTTATTTACCTGGTTTTTGTTTCTATTTCCCCCTTATTTATCTATTTCACCTTCTATTTCACCTTTATTTATCTCTTTCCTCCTTTATTTCCCTCTTTATTTCTCCCTTTCCCCCTTTATTTCTCTCCTTCCCTCTTTATTTCCCTCTTTCCCCCTTTATTTCTCTCTTTCCCCCTCAATTTCCCTTCATTTTTTTCCTGTTACCCTTTTTCTTCCCTATTCTCCCCTTTATTTCTGTTTTTACCCCCATTTCCCCTTTATTTCTCTCAATTTTTCCTATTTCCCCTTTTACTTCCCTATTTTCCATTTCCCATTTCCACTTCGATTTCCCTCTATTTCCTCTTTCATTTTCCTCCATTTCCCCCCATCCCCTTTATTTTCCCCCATTCCCCTTTTATTTTCCTCTATTTTTCCTCTATTTCTCCTTTATTTCTATTCTCCTCCCATTCCCCCATTTTTCCCACCACTTCCCCTTTATTTCCCAATTTTCCCATTTCCCCTCTTCTCTATTTAACCCTTTTATTTCTCTATTTAACCCTTTTATTTCTCTATTTACCCCCCTTTTACTACTCGATTACCCCTCCTTTTATTTCTCCATTTCCCCTTTTTATTTCTCCATTTAACACTTTTATTTCTCTATTACCCCCCCTTTTATTTCTCCATTTCCCCCTTTTATTTCTCTATTTACCCTCCTTTTATTTCTCTATTACCCCCCTTTTATTTCTCCATTTAACCCTTTCATTTCTCTCACAAAAACACACAAAACACCATTTCATTCACTTTTTGTTTTTTTGCTTGTTTGTTTCCTTTTTGTCGCTGTTTTTTTGTGGTGCTTTTTTTGTTTGTTTGTT